GTTATTCCAAAGTGGTCACCCATCTAGGTATTGAACAGGCTTGATATTGTTTAACTTCAACAACTGTACGAGAATTGTTGTTTCAATGTGATTTCGTGTAAGGCAAAGAAATTATTCTCTTAATTGTAAAAACACTTGATTTCATTGGTGGTTGAATTAAAAAGAATAAAAAACTTGTAATTCCAACGGATAATTTTATATTTTGGAAAGCTTTTGTAATCCTTGATCATTCTTGAGAAATCAATGAAACAGTAAAATAAATGAATCGAAATAAAGGGTGTTCCAATAACTTGGATCGATTTTAAATGTGAATTAAGTTTAAACATCTAATGATTTTTTTTCTTTTTCTTTCAGATTTAACAACTTAAGTCTTTCGCAATTTCAACCATGGAAAGATTAACAACCAAACATGATAAAGTTATCGAAGCCTATTACGAAGATGGCCGTTCAAACAGGATTTGAATGAGAAGTTCCCAAGTCACATCATCTCTCGAAACAGCGAAGTCAATTGGCCTCCACGATCGTGCGACTTGACTCCTTTAGATTTCTTCCTTTGGGATCATCTCAAAAGTAAGGTCTATGCCAACAAGCCAAGAACAATTCAACAGCTGAATGATAAGATAATAAGGCATATTGGTGAGATCAACGAACAACTATTCAGAGATGTCATCAAAAATTTTGACCATCAAGTGGAGGTGTGCCGCCGAAACCTTGACGGACATTTGGGCGATATTATTTTTTACACATAATTGCCATGACTTAAATAATAGGATCCAATAGAGAAATAAATAAATTTTCATTAATAACATTGATTTATTTACTGCTGACTTTGATCCGTCTTAATGAAACACCCTTTATATAAAGTTTGAATGTTATTTATTTTATTTATGATATTCATTATTATTATTATTCTATATTTTTACTTTTATTTGTTAATAATAATAATGTCCCTACAAATATTTTAGATGGGACATTTGAAAACCCACGCAGTACTAATACAGTAACAATGTCTCACTGTAATAATGGAGGCTTAAAAATAATTCGGCTTTGTATATATTATTCCAAAACAAACAATAAATAGCATGAAAGAAAGATTTGTTCTATTTTGGGGACATATTTCATTTAACCATTTCTAAATAAAAACAATTGCCTTTTCAAGTGTTCTCCGAATAAAGTTTTAAACTGCTATTGTTAAAATACTCTATATTCTATTTATAGTGGAGCACAAGTATTCTAGTGTTCAGAGAAATAAAAACGTATGTAGAAATAAAATTAAAAGCATATTAAATTGTAAATTAAAGTCTTATAATTTTATTTATTTTTGTGCATTGATGTGTGTGTGTGTGTTTGTATTTTTGGTTGCATTTTTTTTTTAAGGTGGCATGTAATAAAAGGAAGGACTCACTTCGTATTATAACAAGCAATGTCACGAAGAGAGAAGCTGAATGTCTTGACTTTCCAACGGTCCTTAGCGAAGAGACTTGAGTTCGACATCTTTTGGTGCGAAGTCCGTTTTCAAGGAGGAAATATTTCTGTTGCATTCTGGGAGAACTTGTTTTATTTTTTTGGTTTATTTAGTTTATTTTAAAACAAAGTTTTAATGTTATTTATTTTATTTTATTTATAATATCCAGTATTATTATTTTATATTCTTACTTATTAGTAACTAGCAGTAGAACCTGGCGTTGCCCGGGGATGTAACAGTAAGAGATAGATCAAGTATCGACCATCATAAAGACTGAAAAATAAAATTGTCAAAGATTATTGTTTAAGGTTGACAGACACGCATGTCTTAATTAGTTTTTTTTTTTTTACGAATTGGTCAAACCCAAACTCAAAAAAAATCATTGTTTTCAATCGTTATGAGTCTACCGATTGAATAGAATTTTATTATAAACAATTGTCTTGTAAATGGAATTTTTAAAACATTCGGAATGTAAAAATAAAAAAAAAGTGTGCAAGACAATAAGAAACACTACCTGCCAAAAAAAAGTGAAGTTTTGTTGAAATCGGTTGAAAAATGTAGGAAATTCGATCCCATATATGAACGAACACACACACACACACACACAAACAAACAAACAACCTGGCTTTTATAAGTATAACTCGATATGAGTTGTCTCCCTTTAATTTTCGCGACAGCGATGCCTCTTAAACGTGTTTTCGAATTGATTTTATGCAAAAACAATTGTGTTTTTCCAATTTTTGGCGCTGTCAGAACCACTGCTAGGTAATTTTACGTAATCCTGTGAAGTTTTGTTGAAATCGGTTGAAAAATGTAGGAAATCCGATCCAATATATAAACGAACAGACACACACACACACATACACACAAACAACCTGAGTTTTATAATAAGTATGATAATAATATCCTTAAAAATGCATGGCATCTTCGATGATTTTTTTTAGAACTGCGCTAGTTAGACTAAACTACTTTTATTCTATGTTAGATTAAATTCTTTGCCATTATCATCAGAGAAATTAACATCAAGGCCTTTACGAACATAGCTCTAGGGTTTTTCATATTCAATACGCTTCGGTTCAAATTCTCTTTTATCATTGTCTCCTTTTCCCTCCAGGATGGTAAATGGAGACTTTGGTTTTATTAGTCATTTTAAAAGATGGATTTCTGAAAATGGATTACTTACAGTTCGTTCACTGTTTTTTTTTCTTCCTACAGTTCCAGAGTTTGAGGCATACCTGGTATTTTTTTTTAAATGGTCCCCAAAATAGTTCTTTTGTAATTTAAATAAGAGTAAATTATTATACATGGTTAAAAAAAAAGTGAGATATATTTTATAAAGAAATTTTATTAAGACAAAAAGAAAAAAAAAGCATTTTATAATTAAATTTTGCTCTCGTCAAAATATCTTCCTTTAGCCTTGATTACTGCAGCATAAAATTTTGAAACTAAACTTAATATTTAAACTAGTTTCTTTAAAAATGGATAAGAAATTGGGGAAAAAATATTTCGTGTCGTTATTTATCATGTCAAACTCCTTTTTAATTTAAGCGGTTCCAAAATGGACCTTCCCTATAGGTAGATTATGGCGATCGTTTTCAGGCTAATCGTTAAACACAATTCGCTAAACACCACCGAGAAGGGATCCACAATATGTTGCATGTTATTCTTAGACGAAGATCACAATCGCTAACGCATTAGTGTAGACAATAAGCTTTCGCACCAGGCCGTCTTATATTCAAAATCTTAACCGTTGTTCGCTATTTGATGTGAGAATCCTTTAAAGGCTATCAGGAAGATCACGGTAAAGTACAATGTGGAGTCGGCGGTGTTTCTTTCCTTTCCACGATTCGCAACCAAATTTCGATCAGAGAGCTTACCCCCTCCGTCGATATCTGCTTTTATTCCTTCATGGAAATCTCTAAGAACAGAAACAAACTTATCAGGGCATCTAAGCGTGTATCTGAGGCATTTCTATTCACATTATCAAAAGCCTTTGTTGAATCAATGACGACTTGACATAGGTCAACCTTTTACTCGAATATACATGAGTATTTATGCATAGGGAGATATATACATAAATGATAACTGGCTACTCGTTTTTTAATACAGCCGGCCGTTTGAATGGCTAGCCAATCCCTGTTGCAGACACCAGCTCAGATAAATTCTAATTTGCTCAACAGCTACAGAACCCATCTGTAGTTTATACGGTGTCTATCCTAAGTGGTCAATAGCTACAGTTTCTGGGCGAGAATGCATAAACTACACCCTTGTGCAAATTAATCAAAACAACCACTTTAGTTTCCTTTCTTTCAACATACGGTCACTTTTACACCCACTGGATTGATAGGTTGTATTCGACTTCTACTTTACCATCGGATTAGGTCATTTACATTGGTGTGCAGTGACTTGAATCTATTTTCGGGGTGTATAATGAAATTTGTTTGGCCTTGAAAAATATTGCGTCATCCGTGATTGTATCAGAGCTTTATCACGACCAGACACTTTTGTCTCGACTGTCGATTAGTTATCCTACAGCCATTGTCTGCGATGAACGTTACTCCAAGGAAGCGTACGAAAGCTGTAACGCTGCACGAACATACTGGACAGCCTTACCAGTGAGCAAATCAAAATACTATAGAATGTAATGGAAACTTTCTTGATTTAAAACCAATCGAGAATCTGTGGTCACTCTGCAAGGAAAGACTTCGTGGAATGGCCTTACGAAGTATTAACATGTGCACTGGGTCATGTTTTATTGGGGAAAATGTAAAAAATACCAGAATTATTCGTTTTGTTTCAATTTATTTGCATAAGGGTTTAGCTTGATCAACAGTTTAAGCAAGGTCAGTACACTCATATTCTTCTTCACGGTGACTTGTGACTTCGTGTTCGTACAACCGCCGACGGCTTTGGAACTGTTCCCAATAACAAGTTTCACTCATCAGGCTTGGGCCAACCGGTGGAATGGTTTTCAAGCCCCTCCCAGGTGTGCCGTACGCCGATGGGGTCGCCTCTTTCAGATAGGTAGCATCGAAAAGTGACTTTCCTGATAAATCAACCTTTTCGAACCTGGGTTTGTTGCCTTTCAAATCAGTTGGTGTTTCGCTCATACATACATTAATACGGACATATTTTTTATGTGGAATTTTTATACGGACCACCCAGTGAGGATCAGACTCAGTACTCAACCCTTACCATATGTCGATATCCAATTCATTTTGCTTTAAACATGGGTTCACTGATCCTGATATCTTTGACAAGCGGCGCTTGTGAGTGTCCTTTTGTTAAGCGCATGAAAGTATTCTACGGGAGCCATCCCGCTCTCATAATCCAAATTGTATTTACCTTCCCTAAAAGATACCCACCTCCATTAGTGGAGTCATAAGTATACTTCAGAGAAATTTTAATCGTTTAACATAGACATATCTATTTCAACCCAACTTCGGTTTAGATAGAGATAGATATCCAAGCATGTTTCTTATGTAATATATATATATATATATATAGAGAGAGAGAGAGAAAGAAAGATATTAAC